ACACTGCAACAACTTAAAAATTTGCTTAGGATATTTTACTGCTTGTAGACATCATAAACATACCTGGACAAGCTCTAGCAATGATGCTGTATTTTCCGAATGGTCCAGGCTTTGTCTCTCACATGATTTGAATGCTTTACTAGAAACGTAAATTACAGAAACTAATAAGAAACGCAGCGACATCATTGCAAAATTTCTAAACAAAACGATAACCGCCAAGGAAAACTACAGGGAGGGCAACGAAACTATCATGAGGGGAGGGGGGAGAGTCGAAAAAGGAGGAAATCACAAAGAGATGCGTGAGTGGTTTCTAAAAGTCTTTTTTCATGGTGGTTTCGATACTGTATTTACTCAATCAAATGTCAAATTTGATTTCAGCTGACCTGTAATCTTGACGATTGTAGCGAGTTCTTTGAGACTGCAATGAAAACAAGATAAACGCCATGATAATTTTTCACAATAAAATATGCTGTTGATTTTGTCGCTTGAAAATTATAACGTGCGGAATATTTTCGATTCATACCTTATTAATTCCTAATTTATTCTCAATAAGTCTGAACTGAAGACTTTGGAATCCAGAAGCTGGAGCCAGGTTATCTCTGCAATGATGAAAAAAAGCTTCGTTAAATTTTTCAAGGTTTGTACAGAAACTGCGACCAATTTTCAAGGATTTTCAAAGAGGGCATTGAATTTTCAAGGACCAACTACCAGGAATGTAATTCAAAGTTGTTCAAAGTTGGTACATAAATGCACATTCCAGGTCTAAGCTAAGAGAATTTTGAGGCCTAAAAAGGGATTTGGTCCTTCTCCTTCTCTACATTTTTCAGTTCAATTATTCTTGTTAAGTTGACAGTTTTTGCGTATAAAAAACAAAACTTTGTATGTAAATTCCCTCTAACATCACTACTTAAGTCTTATATCCATGTTTTGCGACCAGTAATTAGGTGTTCACTTACTAACCTGAAATCCATAAAATCCAGTGGGGTCATTGTTTCCAGAATCATGATTTGATCTCGCAGCAGCTATGATATCAACAAAAATAGTGGCTATATTAAAACCAACAACCAAACTGGTCCAAAAAGTACATGATATCGAAAACTTTTTGGGGGTCACGTGTAACGCAAAGAATTTTTATCCACACAGCACCAGGAGTGTTTTTAGAGGGCCTGATCATATCCAAAAGACACCCAAACATTTCTAAAGACTTTCCGAAGATTTTACGAGTTCTAAGTTCCATGAGTTCATTCCTTTCTTAAACTCGAGATTTCTAGCAAAAATAGAGCATGCATGTGCAGCTGAACAGAATATGGTTTTCAGGGTCTTATGTCTTAAACAGGGTAAACAATTTCACCATTTTGCATCTTGACCAGGATGTCTTTTTAGACCGGATTAGCCTTTATAAAAACGAGTGTGGAGTTTGCTGATGAGCGATCTACTTGTGTGAACGTAAAACAAATTTTCTTCCATAAAAATCTTTTTTATTTCATGATTCTAGTTTTGATAAAAAACTTAATTAATTTTGTATGCAAAACGAAAAGTATCAGGATTTATATGAAAGAATGTTTCTTATCCTACACAGGTTAATAAAATGAACGAGTGTTGTCTTGACCCTTTAAGCCCCAATATCCACATACAAATTCTCCAAACTGATCTCTATATGTTCCCTTAAAGAGCTAGTTGGGAGAATTTGATAAAAGATCAAAGCATTTTTCTTTACTGATCATTTCAGTAATTCTCATAACCTTATCTCTTGACAATTTATGGATATCATTAGGAGAAATTGATGTTGGTCACCATAAAGTGTTAAGAACAGTCAGGGTTCAAAAGCCTTGGCAGCAAACCTCCTACTAAACTTTGATACCCTTGAGAACCACCTCCAGGATTTCAACTTTTTCTTTTACATCGCTTGGTGACTGTACCACTCACAACACGTTGACAAAACTGCCAGTTCAAAGCATATCACCAGGCAACACAAATACCAGTAAAACAACTTACTTTTAGAATCTGCACAATGCGGTTAAGCCTTGAACATAAAACAAGCATTTGCCTTTCATCCATACCCTATCAGAAAAACATTGAAAGCTAACATGTCAGTTTTTTTTCCACAAAATAATAATAAACAATTTGCTCCTGTTTGCATGCACTAGTAAAGAAATATGGGCTCAAATTATCAAGGTTTAGTTTTTACTTGTGTAATAAACCATCGCCTGTTAGATCATGCAAAAAAAAGATCGTCATCAAATAGGTTAATGAAATGATATGGAGTATGTATTTCTTCAAACAAAAGCACACATGCTCTTATTTCCCCACACCCTCAGCCAAAATAGCAAACCCCTCCTTCTCAAATATGGGGCTAACTCAATAGCAGGATCCCCACCCCTTCGCTTTCTTAAATATTGGAGATCCAGTCAAACCTCTCTAATATGGACACCAAAGGGACAGAACCAAGTGTCCGCTTTACAGAGGTGTCCGTATTATAGAGGTAGGGAATGAAGTATTTTTGGCATTTCTGGGACCAAACGATCTGTCCGCAATAGAGACGTGTCCATATCATAGAGGTGTCCGTAAGGAGAGGTTAAGACTTTATATAACAAAAACCTGTTTTAATTGCCACTAATTCATTCATGATCTTTTGAGAACTTACAAAGCAGGTTTTTATTGTTATGTTTTAAGACAGATAAAGGTTGCTGTTTTTGTCCACATTCGATTAAATCATTAAATGCACAAATACAATTCTTTGTTATCTTATCCTTGTTAGTACTACTTTATTTATTTATATTTTCGCAAGTTTTAAAGAAGTGATTTCATTTTGCCAATTTTCTGTCAGTGGCCCTTCACTGATGTACTCCATTGGATTATCCTCTTACCAGTTTCTCCAGGGTAAAGATTTCTCGAATTGAGTCCAGCTCATGAAGAATCTGCTTGAACCATAATTCGTAGGCTAGATGGGAGAGCAACAAAGAGGAGAAAAAAAAACCCTTAAAAATACAATTACTTGACACTAAAACAGAGCAGGACCAGAAAGTATTATTGAAAGAATTTTTCCTTGAAAGGTAGTACTGAGCAGATTTCATTATAACTGACTAAAGGCTGCAGTTGTAAGAATTGTCAGTGGTATCAGGTGTACAGTGGAATCCTAATTTTGAACCACAGTGACAAAAGGAAATTTGTTTGAATTATCAGGAGGCGGGTAAGCTAGTTTACAGTGTTTGACTGGTGAAAGGGAATGGATTTGTTCAGAAAAAAAGGTTTCAAGAGTTTGGAATTCTCACAGTACAGTATAGCTTAAAAGAGATTCTAAAAAATTCTTTCATGCAGGGACCAGCTTAACAGCGAAACAGAGGTACTGTACAAACTAGATTTATAATGCTTTTTGAAAAAACCTATAGGCTGTTTTACAGTTATTTCAACAGGGAAAGTTTTTTGTAAGTTTTGTAAGTTCTCTAGGTGATTATGCATTCAACTCATTTCGAATTCAGGGATGTATAGCTTAAGAAAAGCTGAGCAGGCATTTTTTTTATCATTAGTCAAGCTGGCTTTTTAACTTGCCAGCACCTTCAAAATTCCCCCAATTCTTTGTTTTCTAGAGCAATTTGAACTAGAGATAAGCTAGTTTAGTACTGCACCTTGATGGACAGTGATGAAGAGTAGTTCATCATGAACAGTTAATGCACTAGCTGACTTCTGGCAATCAAGAAGCTTGTCTAGCTGCAAGAGATAATTTCACATTTTTGTCACATTTCTCCAACATAGATTTAGAGGATTATAATAATTATTATAATAATAAATACAGCAGAACCTCGCTATAACAAACCTCCAATAATAACAAAGTCTCCCCTTATGTAAAACAAACAATTTTCTTTACCCCAGCAACAGTAAAATATATGAAAAAGGTACTCAAAATAACAAAACCTCATTATAGCAAACAAATTTTGCCAGTCCCTTGCAACTGGTCATTTGTTATATCGAGTTTCCACTGTAGTATATCATTTATTGTTTTAAGTGGCATTCATTTATTTTAAGTGACAATTATTTATTGTTAAAAAGGCATTAGGGAGCTTTAAGTTACTTGCCCAGAAAGAAAGTACTTCATGTCCCAGACTTGATGGGACTTTTTTAAAACCCCGCACAACCTAATGAGATTGACAGATCTGAAGAACCCAAGCCATAAAATCAAATGTTAAGTATTTTGTCCAGAAGTTTTACTACTTAATAGGCCTAGGTATAAGGAGCATTTCAATTTGTTGATTAAATTTAGCTGCATAATTCCCACTCTCATTTACGTGCAAGATGCACACTGATGCAGAAACTAATTAGATAATGGGCGCTTTTCAAGAATTAGGTTCATTAATATATTGAATCCACATCAGCTTTTAGCTGCCATTTTTATTGACCTACATAACAAATAAAGTATGTATTGCACCTTTGATCTGTAAGTGAAAATCTACATATACAACTAGTTGATTTGTAATAAACCAGTGACTTAAAGAAATGTAAATTCACACTGGTTTTTGCAAAAAAAAAATTCAATTAAAATAAAACTAAATGACCTTGAAAATGCTATTTACTTAGGACATTATTAACTTCATTGTCTTTGATGGGAACCTAATTGAAAATATGACAAACAAATAGGTTAACTGTTTTTCTTCCTACTTCTCACTTCTGTTTGTCAACCAACAAACAAAATAATATTTGACAAAAAAGTACAAAGGGTGTTTCTGCTTCAAAAATATATTTTTTAGCGTGCTAACTGTAAATACAACAGGACAATGATCTTAATCCCTTTATCAGGTTCCCTTTACATTATCTATACAATACATATCCCGAGAGAATCAAACTATGTGGCTGATTATGAATAATTAAGAGGTTGATTATAAAGTCACCTTGGTATCTGGCTTTGTTGACTCAGATATTACTATTGAGTGTATATTTAACTTTGGCAAACAGGATGTCACAAAACTCACTTGAAAGCTGAATGAAGAAAAAATTTAGAATCTGAACTTACAATAATATTACTGTACAGGACAATTCTTAATTACTATCCTTATTAGCTTGCAATATCAAGTCAAGAAATCTCTTAACAACTAAGGAAAGAAAGGACAAGATACACTGTATGTACAATAATTTCAAAGCATTTTCACTGCCAGACACTTTGTTTACAGTCATATCATGGACACATCATGCAAAAGCTACAGGTGATCATGAGTTCTATAACAAGAAAGAACGCTTCAGAGTATACTGTTCAGTGCTTTTAACCATACATTTAAAGCATGAGGAACATTCCATCAACCCCAGAGCTCCAAAAATTCTCGAGTGGAGGCAAATACCCTAACTATCTTGTAAGGTCATGGGCGTCCAGTCTTGGGTCAGTGACACAGGGTCACAAGGCATTAAAATCCAACTACCGCAGCAAATGGCTTGAGAGGCTGAACCGTGTTGAGCTCTTGCAGAATGTAGAGGTACAACAGACTCTGAGGAATACGATGAGGATATTAAAAGTTACTGACGACATTTTACAAGATTCAGACAGTGCTTATGAGTTTGCAGAGAAAAGACGAGTACAGAGGTGCCATGAAACTGTGTGCAAGATAAGAGAAAGAGAATTGAATAAGAGAGCTACGAAGCCTTTGAAGAAATGTAAGGATAATCCAGAAAACACGATTTCCACTGAAAAACGTACTAAAGTCAAGAAAATCAAACATGATAAAACATCAGATGGTAATATGACACAATTACGAGAGAGCAATAAAGCACACACCTCAAGCTTTAACTTTGATCACAACAGTAATTCATACAGCTTTGAACAAAATGCTGATTCCAATGGAATGAATGACTACAGCTTTGACAATGCTAGTATTGATGAACTTTTTTCTGGACTTTTCTCCAGTGGAAGCAAGTTGAGTTCGGTGGAAGCTTCCAAGAAGAGGGTTTCTTTACCAGCAATTCTTGAAGGTGGGCATGATCAAGACAAAAATGACAATAGTGCTGAATTTCCAGGAAAAAAAATACGTGGTCATTTACCATCACTTCCATCTTTAGATGCTCAAAGTAAGTTTAGCATCATAAAGAGAGTACAAGAGATCAGGCAAGAGCGTCGTGCAGACAATAAGAGAGAAAAACTGTCGTCATTACCTTCACAGGTAAAAAGGAAGTACTCCAAAGCAAGAAAAGAGTCTTTGCAAAACATGAACAGTCGCAAGATTGAAATTTTTGCTGATAACAGCAAAATCCTAAGCAATGAACAGAAAACTATTGTTGAAAGCTCACCAGTTACATTACCATTGCTAGACAGCAAATCATTTGCTGAAATTGATTGTAATGATTATCTGAATCTAAAGAACCGGCTTGATGGACTGTCACCAGAGAAAGCTGTTTTAGATCACAAAACATATTGGCCAGCTTCTAGTTAACTAAACAAGACTACAGAGAAACTTGACTTTTAGTGATGCTCTGATCTCAAAGCTAAAGGGTGCTGCATTTCAAACTTGTTTTTAGTTAATGTTGGGGACAATGAACAACTGATTAGGAGGCTATTTTCTTGCAATCTAAGTTGTTTTTTTTTAATTCACTGTATTGCTATCAAAAAGCATTGCCTGTCAACAAGGCTGAAAAACCTTCAAGAGGGAACAGAACAGCATAATGTCTGTCAACGTGGCTCAAAAATTTTAGAATCATTAAGATGTACATGACGTATCATTTGTCTCCAAAGCAACATTTATGGAAAATTACCAAATTAAGAGTTTACTCAAATTAAATCACTTGAACAAAGGATTTAGAAACCTTTCAAAACAATAATATTATTGCTTTATAACCATCAGCTACCCAACATCATATATCATTTAGCTCTTAAATTCTATGATACTTAAATCCAGCAGATCAGATCAGAAGGGCCACCTCTTCTAACAGGGTAATAGACAAATACCTAAAAAATAACATTGAACTAATGCAAAAAGATATTTTTTAACGTTTTCTTGGCTACAAGCAAAAAAAATATTCTCTGTTTACAAATAAGGTGGTAAATGGAGTACAATAAAATCATTCATATGCTCTCTTTTAGGATAAAATAATGTCATATTTTGTGCTGAGGTGGTAATTTCTGTATTATTTCATTATCATAGCTATGATTAATATGATTGTTCTCTGACTACCTGTCTTCTTATTACTGACAAGGAAACAGTTAATATTTTGTTTTTTGGTGTAACCTACAGATACGTTAGTTATCTGCTGCCAGAAAACTGACTAATCCCCTTTTGATGGCAGCCCTTGACAACTACAATGTATAAAGTAACATTGACACCATCCTGTCACTGGGATATAAAATACAGTATGTTGCCTTAACATTTTTGTAACTTTATATGATATTTGTTATCATAAATGATCGATTAAGTTCCGCTACTCGACTAAGCACCACTCCCTTTTTAAACCAAAAATAACTTAATAAGCGCCACTCTTGAATAAGCACCGCAGTGCTAATTTCAGTATTTTCCAAATAAATGCCCCACCTTTGTTACGGCACTTGATATAATGAGATATCAAAACCTGATATCACTTGAGAAATAAGACCACGTTTTGTATTTGGACAGCAATACTTCACAGAGACTGAGAAACTTTGTTCAAGTTACCTCTAGTTGTAGTTGAGCAGAAGTATTTTCACTGAGACTGATCGACTGTGTTCATGATACCTCTTGTATTTCATTCAAAATAATTTTGTATTAAGTACTGCATACCTAGTACGCGCCTGACTTAATTCTCTCTATATTCCCCTCAGTGTTTTACGAGTAGCGCAGCTCTCGAGTAAGCGCTGCACCTTTAACAGGGAAAATGAAATAAGCCTGGTGGCGCTTAATCGATCATTTACAGTATGCATGATATTAGCACTTTTATCTCCCCACATATCTTATTGGTAGACACAGGAAGGCACTCAAGGGGTTTGGGTAGAGTTTAGCAACTGAGGTTCCTGAACCCTAACCCTGACAAAAATAGTTCTTTTTGCTACCCTTTTAAAGAGAGAAGACCATATTTTATGACCCTGATATATTTCGTTTTGCAAACAAAATTTTATAGGAAACATTTCAAACTTACATCATGTATTAAAATTTTTCGTGAAAATTGATGGTACCACACATGTAGACCGCTCATTGTGAACTTCTTCTTTTGGACCACTCCCGGTGCAAAACTACCCAACCCACCCATTTCAAGATATCAGAAAGTGAAATTGTATCCCTGGGCTGAAAAATCATACCCTGTGCAGCAGCACATTCCCACTGGGCTAAATAAGAGGGACTGGCTACTCATTGCTCATTGCCGGCCTTCCTACTCTTTTAAAAGCTTTTGGTCCAAACAGACATTCATTTCAAGACATTAAATAGAAAAATTGTCACCCTGTTTCAGACACAAGACCCTGAAAATCATACCCTGTGCAGCAGCACATTCCCGTTTGGGCCAAATAAGAGAGCAGCCCCCTCTGACCCCACCCTTCCCCGCCCCCTCCTGCCCCAAACCGGGTTTGTGGAGCAATATGCAATTTGGCACCTTGTTTACAAAACCTAATAAATATTGATTTGTCCATTCATTTTCTTATAGGAAAGCTGTTGATGTGGTCACCTTGTTGGCTCCGAGGTTTGGGAACAAAACAAAAGATATGTATTATTCATACAAGAACCTTCAAGGCGATTTCTTTTGTTTATTAGCCCATTAGCCTCAACCGCAAGTGTGGATTTAAATATATCAAAATACGTAGGCAGTCTATTCATAAAAATTCAAATAAAAAAAATAAGTATCAATCTTGAGAAAAACTAATGATTTACTTTTTTTATGAGAGTGTCTGTGAGATGCCAGATTTTGCATAGCCATTTTCTTTGCAAATTCAGCGGTGCGATAGTACCCCTTCAATATTAAGAGAAAAGAACGTACCAAAGAAATATGCACCAAACAGGATATACGATCACTCCGCTGCACGGCCGTATTAACGGGTTAATCGGCAGGTGTTAAAACATTATGAATCAGCGCACATTTATTTTCCATTTCCAGTGAAAAGGAATCGCAAATACGAACAAACACTTTACAAATATCAAACACCTTGAACTGAGTTGTGGCGTTCAAGTTTGCATAAGTTAATATTAAATAACCTAACAGAGACATGGGATTAACAAAAAACTGAGGAAAACTACAGAAATTACGGTTATAAATGTCCCAGCAGATCAAAAGATTGTTTTACTTCGTAAAAACTACTGGTAGAAGCTCAAACCTGAAGATAATCGCCATAGCATAATCGGCCATCATCGCCATCTTTTGCGAACGGGGCGCTCGTTTCGTCATCGCTGCAAGGTAAACAACATAATTTCAACAGTTCAATTTGATATTATAAAAACGCAGCCTGCTGGTGAAGGGTCAAATCAACTACAGGTCATTGTCAATATGTAGAGAAAGAGCAAAAGAACAAAAACACTCAGCTATAATCTACTTCTTTTAACCCTATTTTGTATTTTGATAATTTTGTTCGCAGTCTGCATGCAATCTTGCTAAATCTTGATAGTTATAAGAGAGTATTATAAATTGTAAAACACTAAAACACTTACAGGCTACGATCATAAGGACAGCTCATGATGATGAATAAAAGTTAGGTCTCTCTCGCCCTTCAAAGCAACGATAAATCACAATCAAACCGTAGAAGAAAATGTCCTTGTGACCTTTCTATATGAAACCAGCAACCGTGTCAGCTCAGCATGCAGGCGTGCGTCGAACGGAGTCTTGCCGGCGGGTTTCAAAAGGGGCGAAAAGAGGGCGTGAACGATGCTGTAGCCCAGGCCCCCAAAACATTTGTAGAAAAATGCCCCCTGAAAAAAGCACATAGAGAGGCGATAGAAAGACCATGCTTACTACAACACTGAATTCGTCATTTTGGCAAGGTAATTGTCACAAAATAGAAAAATAATCATTCTAAACAGGTTACGCAAACTAAGTTACGTAACCGCAAGCAACTGGCCCGGTACCAAAACACTGTTACATCATTAGCCCCCGGGATGAGCGCTTACGCACTTGGTAAACTAATATAATACAGTACAACCAGTGATACTGGATATTGCGTAAAGAAGCGATTTGTGGGTGTTATTGATGGGGAGCGAAAAATTCGACCGAGAATATCGCTTACTACAACGCTGAATTCGTAATTTTGGCAAGGTAGTCACAAAATAGAAAAATGATCATGCTAAACAAGTTACGCAAACTAAGTTACGTAACCTCAAACAACTTGCCTGGTACCAAAAACATTGTTACATTATTAGCCCCCGGGATGAGCGCTTACGCACTTGGTAAAAATACAATACAGTACATCCAGTGATGATGGATATTGCGTGAAGAAGCCATTTATGGACTTTATGGGTGTCATTGATGGGGAGCGAAAAATTCGACCTAGAAAATCGCCTTATCTTAGCTCACTGTGGAGAAGAGAAACACGAATAAAGTTACCGTGTGCTGTATTCTGCTTGTGTTCCCGTGTCGTTTTGAAACGATCGTAGTTTTTTCTTCCCCAAAATAATTCGAAATGTATTAATGAATTTTTTACAAACTTCTTATTCGTGGGAAAAGGGAAGAGGCTGCGAACCGCGGACGTATAGCGACGACCAGGAAATACGTCTGCGGTTCGCAGGCTAGAATGGACATGATTTCCCCAATTTATGAAATCATAAACGCAGTCGTCAGCTGCAAGCGGTCTACCTACGACTCACACCAGGCGTGATTTTTGTCAAGTCTGGCTTTAGGTACGAGGTTAAGACACTCATGATCCTTCTTTATGTAGACAAGCGTCTTTGTGATTTTGCCCATGTTTTTGGGCTAATCGTCTCTTCAGGAGAAAAGACAAATAAAAATTTGGTAGCTTCAAGCCCGGGGCTTCAAGGGAAGGAAAAGGTGTCACATCCGGTTCACGTGCTTAGTTGCTTAAAAATTAACGTCTCTACTTCACTGCTCATTCAGCCACAAAAAAAAGTATTAATTATATACGCCAGTAAATATTTCCGGGGGATAATTCCTATAATGGCCCCGCCCAAAAGGGGTACCTTTTTCAGGCTTCAGGTGAATATATCATATACCCCCTCGTTCCACTGGTAAATAACCCTTACTCACTTCTTAAAAGGCTTTACGCACCTCCCTTAGACTAGACTAACCTCTGCTATTTGTGGGTAGTGTAAAATGAAATTTGCAATTCTGAATGACCAATAAAAAAAATGGTTGCTTGGAATGAAATGAAATAACCACTTTAGTTCACCTGTACTCCAGATTTTCTTTAAAATATAAATAGAACACTCGAGCAAATAGTTGCAGTTGCGGTCCATACAGGAACGTTGAACTGTTTTGTTTAGCTTTGTTTCCATTTTAATCAACCATTTTCTTGACACTGACGATGAAATTTCTCCCCTATGATCAGTAATTTATCAAGATAAGACAGTTAACTTCACACCATAGAATATTCTCTCTGGAATTACTTCTTTGTAGCCTCTGAAGAATCTTCTCCCCCTACGACCGGTCGAGGTTTAAGGTTTTTCTGGAATTAGCTTACGATAAGATAAAAGTAAAATTCATATAGAAACACATATTTGAAAGGAAGAGGGTATAACTGTGATGCAGAAAGTGTATACAGGTAAAGCGTGCTTACCATTTACACAATCCAACCGGGTGAAAAATCTTGTGCATAAACATAAAACTATGAAATCTGACGTGATACGATAACAGACCTGCCTCGTACCCAGGCTATTCTTAGGATTATCTGCAGTAGTCGCGGCGCAAGTGGTCATGGGGACCAGAAAAGCGCTGGAGTACGAGGCAGTGAACAGACCAATTGCATCGCCTCAGATCACAGCCGATATGTAGGGCGGGTAGAAGAGAACCCTGGGAAGGAGGTTGTCCATTTGGTCCATTCTTTTAAGTATTAAGTTCCCCTGGTATCAGTAAAGCTTATGAAGGTACACAGAGGAAGGTCAGATATAGACAAAGGAAAAACAACATCCACCTTATAAGCTACCAATTTAATCTTTTATCTCTCTTTTTTACCTTGACAAACGAAAAGATAAAGTTATACTTGCTTATATACCACAACTTAGTACAACTTGTTCATGTCTGTGTTAAAAACGTACTGCTACAGGAGCTGCTAAATATACCAACAAAATTATCGAATTTCCTTGTTAACCCCACTTGTAAAGTTTTTCAATTAGATTCTCTCTAAGCGCCGAGACTTTCTAACCAAGGAAAAGAACGGTTGGAACTGAGCCCAGCACAGTGCTGTTTATTATCGCTGCAGCCAATAGATATGCCCCGCTATTGTGTGCCTTTCAAGAACACGATTTACACCGAACAACTTGCTCACACTTTCGGGTCGCGCAATGTACTTCAAACTTATGAGTTAGATGGATAAGATCCTTAGTGTAGACATCATCATGAAAGCTTGGAGCAGATTGTACAAGCGTATTTATAACTTAGCGGATTAAATCGGTAAATGAAATATTCCAATAGTGGTAGCTAAAAATCATTTGACAAAAGGAAATTGACATACGAAGGATCACCGCTACCATTATCCTACAAGAAGTTTATTGAAAAATCAGTCAGAAATTCTGCCCTCACAAGCAAGTTGTTGATGTAAATGTGCCCATGCAACTGCACGAATTAACTCTTTTACGAAAACATCATTTCCGTGACGCAAACGAACTTTTCAGATCGTCACGCTATACTCCGTCTGCAAGTCCCATACAAAGTCACGCAATACTTTGTTGACTAATCTACTGGGCCAAGTTGTTCAAATTTGAATTCAGATATGGAAAGCTTAAAAAGCAAATTCAGTTTAGTTCTTTTTGTCAACAATTTGATTATTGGCTACTCTAAAAAGAATAGAGAAAATCGTCCGAGAAAATGCTTTTGATGAAAAGGAAAAGAGACCCGGGTTAAAATTTAACCCTGGGTTAGCGCTAATCGGCCTTCAAACAACTGGGCCCCGAAGTATAAAAGAACGTTTCTTTCATAGTTACTTTTGTATCAATAATTTAAGAAGAAATTCTGGTAACTTATAAAAGAATAATTGATAAATAGCAAACACGAACGTTTATCTCGTTTTAGGTAAAAAAGGTTCGTCATCTCGAAGAACCAAATACTTCCCTCACATAACATGTCGAAAAGATGAAAAATTTATGGCTTCAAGTACAATTTCGTATAATTTTCAAATTACAAGTATGATTATTGTTGGGGCTTAAGACGTTGTGTCACGATTCTTTGTCTTAAAAAATGTAGCATGAATATTTCAGTTTTCCGTTGGCCATCGCTCACGTTAATCTCGTCCATTCTTTATAGAGTATACTACAACCATTGAAGCGTTTACCGTTTTATCCAACTTATAATTAAAATTTCCTTGTAATTATCGAGACAACTCTCTACGTTGTAAAGCCGTGACCACCCACAGTATCGTGAAAGAGCCCCTTGTAAAATCTCTGATTCAAGACAGAATTTTCCCCTGAAAAAAGATAGGTATTTCTAGTCGTTTAGGCAACCACATTCAGGATCCACTCGTTTGCTGATTGGTCCAAAAGCCCGTGTTACGAGCACGGACCAATCAAAACAGGACGTGCCAGGACCGACCAATGAGCATCCCAGATCTTATTTCCCGCGGATGCGCGCTCCTTTCGAAAAAGGACGTTTTGTTTCAAACTGTGCCTAACTTATGCGATTAGCAAGTGTGTTATTAACTGCCACAAAAGATTTCACTGTCTTATTTATATGGAAATAAAAGGAAAAACGTTATGTTGGTATAAATTCAATTTTCTTGGCTATAAATAAGGAATTATTACCTGCTCTATGCAATTAAGAGCCGTAAATTTCTTCCGGAAAATTTCTATACTTCATTGAAGGCCCTTATGACCAACCTTCACATCACTTTGAACGAATTTTCTGTACACAATTTTATAGCTTGAACAAGAAGCTACCTACCAGCTAAAAATATTTCCACAATTACAAGCTGTGAAGATTATTGGCTCTTTCATAATAATCGATAAAATAAATCCATCTGACCTCTGCTCGAGCCGGCGCTTTTCGTTACAAGGCACCGAGCGACTGAATATCTCTGACAACTTTCGGAAGCGTGTCGGTGCATGAAATAATTGGTTAATTTAGGTCGAAAACTTTTCGACTTCTGCCGATCGTTGTGCTGCGCTCCGTCGTCCCTTGGATAAATATGAAAATTTAATGGCCTGTAGTAAATCTCGATGCAATCAATTACTATTAGAAAAAATTTCTCTCTACACCAAAATAATTCTACAAAACAAGCCAAGAAACGACAGCGTTTGCCAACAGTTTTCTTCTTAAAAAGTGGAATATTCTAAATTAATCAAAATATTTGTTACTTTGCAAGTTCCGTGGGTCGCTCATCGTAACTGTTCGGTAACCTTCGGTGGCCTCTAGAACAACACTTTTAGAATCTTCGGTACATCTGCGACAATACGTCTTTAACCGATGAAAGACCCAAAGCCACTCAAGTCAAGCTAAATATGCTCCAGTCAATCTTTGTCGAAGTTAAAGTGTTCAGTCTTTCTTCTCCCATTTTAACTTTATCGCGAATTTCTGCGTGCATCAAAGCAAGCTGTGTTTTCATGTCTATATAGTACTGAAAATCGGCGAATTCCTCCTCCTCAAGACAATTTTCCAAAATCTTGGACACGACTTCTCCGCGTTTATCATTCACTTCCTTGATTTTGCAAGCTTCCTCGTGCTGTAAAGTAACCTTGTCTATTTTGCTCAGCAAAATATCCTGAAAACAACAACAACACAACAATACAATTACTTAAATTAACATAAAATGCTCCTGTACGAGGAAGATATCCAACAGATGTTATCAGGGGGTACTAGCCAGAATATTTTTGGTGATTTTTGCAGGCAGAGCATTAAAACGCGAAAAGATTGGCCCAGTTCCTTCAAGTTTCAATCCATGTGTATCCACGCCATCCGTAGCAACACACGACAGAAAACAGTTTCAATGCCTAAAGACAGTCGTTATATTTGGAGTTCAATTGATGCGAAAACACGTTTTAGTAGCCTTTCAACAAGATAGAGCGATTTTCGTATGACCTTGAAATGATAACGCACAAAACGGAAATAGAGCGATTTGATTGGTCGATACTCCACTTTGACGTCATACTGCAACACTATTGGCCAATCGAACAATGCCTCTTCCAATGGTATTAGGGTTTTCTTTGGCGGGAAAACGAAAAGTCCATGTTTTGATCTTTACATCTATTGGCTGATAAAACAAATAACGAACACTTACCGAAACCATTTTTCAAGGTCATACGAAAGTCGCTCTAACAAATACCGTGACACAGCCTCCATCCGTCTACTGACTCTTGATGATAAAAAAAAGTGGCTCAAGATTTCTCACCTTTTGTTGCCTATCTGCTTCTTCGGACATGTCCAAATCATTCAGCATCATTTCATATCTGTGCATTCTCTGCGTCAGAATCAACAACAGTCCAATAATCTTATTCAGCTCGCCGGTAAACAATTGGTACTTTGAGAATTCCGCCGGACTCGCCTTTTTTTCTACAACCTTGGTCACTTTTTCACCAAGCTCCTCGTTGCCGTTGATTTCGTCTTTAATTTCGTCCATTTGTGATCTAAGATCCACTATCTTTTGTTTCATGCTATCTATGAGGACACTCTGAGGATAAACAAAAATATTTGTCATAAACTTTGAGCTTGCAACTTACAGATATTCCATTCAAAGAGGAGAGATGACAAATTGGTGTTGCTACATGTCGTCACTGTTCATCAGTAGAATGTCTAAAATATGTGTAATTCCACAATTAGTTTCGGCTCTAATCAATCACTGTCGTTTTGTCCAGTTTCGATTTCGCTATGACCGCTGAATAGAGCAGTGAACACGCTTTTGTTACCGGCATAGCTTCCATCAACATATTCACAAATTCCAACGAGAATAAGACCTATTTATTACTCTTTCTATTGTGTATTCACAAATTTCAAACACATACTTGCCGGAACTTTTTAATATTTTACTCTATGTCGGGGGTAACCCTGTATGAATGTGTCGTTAATGATTGTATTCCGCAGTAATTTTTAATTCGAAACTGGACAATTTTAGGGGAATCAACAAAGTCAAAGGCGATTGTCAGCTTCTATCATCTGTTTTATACCGCCTGAGAAACCACGTGACATGGTTTTTCCCCATTGGTCGTAAAGAGTGTGCAGAGATGGCGCGTATCGTGGAGTAAGGTCTATTAAGAGGCAACAGGAGGTTTCCATTCAGCCAAAAATTCCGGAAATTTCGGTTAGAAATCAAATGGAACGGACCCAGCGTTCTACGCAAAGTATTTCAGGGGTAGAACCTTCCACCCCCAAAATGCCCAGCTTTCCCCCCAAATAAATTGTTCTCATTACAGTATATAAGTAACTATATTGGAAAAATCATCCAGACGCGACCGGATTAGCGCACATGAAGTAAGTATTCCCTATCTAAGAACACTATATGACAAGGAACATGATCATGACTAAAAAATAAAATAAAATACCGCTGCAACATTTCTCAAAATTGTGTTTCAAAATGCACCAGATCGCATCTCAGCGCATATTCATTTCAAAAAATTTCCGAGGGGGGGAATGCCCACGGATCCCACAAGGAAACTCGTGGCCACTCGGGACTTCTCCCCCAAACGACAAATCCTAGGTAGAACCCTGGGATCATTTCGGTTCAGTCCGATCTGAATATTTGGGACCACCTTTTATTTGAAGGTGGTCCATTCATTTCGGTCGGTCGGTCGGATCGAAACATCCCTTTCCATTTGACAAAATTGTTGCCCCTAGTACCGCTCTTTTGTATCCTGCTTGCAAGAACAATAACCAAACGTGCAGGTGGCTTGGGTCGGGCCGGTGAAACCGGAATGTACCGTTCCATTGAAATTTCAAACCAAGAATTTTTGATGAGTGGAAAGCGCCCAATACATTACGTTCTTGAATTGTAACGCAATGTTGCTCACTAGTTCATAGAAATTTAACTCACCTTTTCCTTATCCAAAGCCTCAAGTTTGGGACTCAACATGCTGTTAGGACGACTTCCCGATGGAGTGGACGTGCTGGAGCCTAAACTGTAGGGGCTCGAATCAAGAGGGTTATCCGTCTCTTCCAGGTCATCTCTGGTAGGTGTCGAAGTTATTACGAGCGGAGCTGGCGGAGGTGCCCTATGGGTACTGGTTTTGTTTTCTGCAGGGGAGGTGTCGGCGAATGACAAATCCGTACTTGTGGTCGTCTCCAAGGCTTGTTCGGAGATATCACTCGTGTCGATTTTACCTGACCCGTTTAGTTCGACTTTAAGCTTTTCGCCACTTTCAGCGGCGGATTCGACCCAATCAACTTCCTCGCGTTGGACAATATCGCTACCTACAATCGAGTGCTCTCTTTGTGAACTGAAGTCGCTGTAAGGATCTGGAAATTCAACCAGTACTTCCCGAGGAGGTGAGGGCAGGGGTAAGCTATCTTGAGAGGTCTCGAGCGGGTCAAGAAGATTTAAGGGAGGTGGGGGCGGAAGAGAATCGTCAGCATCCCAGAAGACATTGCTGTCGTCATTAGTGAAAGGCGGTGGTAATTCAGGCTCCACTGGCTTTCGCTCAAAGTCAGAGTCGGGATTTGATACTGGCGATGTTTCATTTCGAGAGGAAAATTTGTCTGGGTTAACTTTTTGTTCGGCTGGAACATAGACTTTGATTTTCCTTAAAGGCTCCGCTGGAACGTGCTGTTTTTCAACACGTGTAGTCGAAGAGAGATTTTCAACCACATGTTCTCTGGTTCCTGTACTGTCTGTTGCAGCACTCGGTGTATTCCTTGACGGTGGCCTGAACTGCTCGTTAGATTTGCTTCGAAAAAAGTTATCATTTGTTTCCCAATTTTTCGGTGGTGTTTTGTCATTGGGAGGCGGCAATCTCGGACGACTCTCCTCTAAGGACTCGCGACTGTCCGTTGACATAGCGCTATATTTTGTTGACGGGCGATTTTCTGGCAAGAAATCTCGCTTCTGCGCTGACGAATCGAAAGTTTTTGCAGAACTATCTAACGCCGAGTCTCTCTTCTGTGTCGACGGCTCGTTAAATCGCGTTGGAGAGTGTGTCTCAAGGAGAGAATCCATAGATGAAGATCTGTGAAAATAAAAATTCTGCAGTTATTAAAGCGGTAGTAAGCTGTAGCTTAAACTGTAGGTCATGACCAACAAACAAAAGAAAACAAAACAACGTCCGACACGTATCCATGGAATTAGTGTACGCAAGCAGTGAATCCCGTAAGAAGCCTGAAGAGACCCTTCAGAGGCTAAACTCAAAATTCATAAAATGTCCAAATTTCCACTTTCTACAATTCTGAAAAAACAAATAGTACCAAGTAAAAACACTGCCAAAGAGGTTTTATCTGAATGGTTATGTTGCAGGTCAAAAATAAGTGAAGGTTAAAATTTTTAATGTAGGTTGATTCTCAATAGAGTGTTTTTATATGACGTCACGGAGGCCATATTGGTGTCCCAAAACAATGAATCGGCGGCCATGTTGGTGTCCCAAACCAGTCCTGTGGGAGTTGAACTCTCTTCTTATGTAAATGCTTTCTTTTGTTCCAATAAATTTGCATAGATGCTGGCCACGTGAGTGAAAACACCCTTCAGACCATTTGCACGATGACGTCATTTTACTACTACGACCAGAATCCTTCGGGGTTTTGCTTTCTTGTGCAAATTAGGACTTTTATTATTTAAACCTCACTGGGATTTCCAAATTTAAATATGAGAGGAAAAACAAAACGTATTCTGGTCGTGGAAGTAAAAGGACGCTATTATGCAAATGGCCTATTTCCTCTGTCTTCTAGCCTTTTTATTAAAAAATATTGAGACTAGGAGACGAAGGAAGTTGATAATCAACCCAGGTTAAAAAATTTTAACCTGAATACTTTTTGGCCTTTAACGGTTACACCATACGATTTGGTCCACAAACTCAAAAATTACAAAAGAATCCTTTGACCAGACTCCTTTATTCAATCTGGCAGTAAAATGGTTAGGTACTCTTCAAAAACTCATTAATAATTCATGAAGAAATAACAAAAGAAATTGCGACAAAATTCATCAGGAAATTGAGTAATTTTAATTTTCAATGAACAAAAACCTTGTACCAGAATAATTTCAAGCATATTGCATTTTTTTCACACTTTTCAAGGGCTTAAGATGTAATAAGTTGTATGAAATAACTCCGAAGAAAAGGTTGTTATAGCAGCCCGAGGAAACAAACTTCAAAAGCCTCAAATTCTCACAAAATGAAATCTTGCGCATGACGATTTTAGATTATTTTACCTGTGTTTTCTCAACTCCTGTGAAATTTGAAATTTATTTTCTTGGGCTCCTGTAAGATGTCTTTGGTGTTATTACAGATAACTAATTACATCTATAACCCTTGAAAAGTGTAAATAAAAATGCGATATGGCTTAAAATATTCTGGTACAAGGTTTTTGTCCACTGAAAATTAAAATTACTCAGTTTCCTAATGGATTCCGTCTTAATGTTAAATGAGTGTCTTTATATCTAATAAAGACACGGCTAATCTTGACGTCCAATTCTTTGGACCAAAATAACCCCAAATCTAAATATTAGTGCAAGAATGAGTTGATCTATATGGGAGATTTTGAAGCCACTCAAAAAAATTGCAGTCGTCTATTATCAGGTTTAAAAACTCCTGATAATACACGAATCACCGCGAATCACTACGACCTATAGATATTTCGGGCAACAACAATTTGCCGTTTGTTCCCTTTATCAATATAACAGAAGATTCTTTGCATGACTTCGCAAGCGGCATAAAATCCTTTCAACTTTATAGCACAAACCACAAATACCACATTAAAAAAAATCATCGTGGGATCACAGGTGCTTCAAGTGGTTCAAAGGGGCTTTGTCATATGGATATTGCTGTTTCAGGTTAACAATTTTTGGGTTTCAGTCATTAATTAGTGTCTTCACCAACAGTACACAAAATGATCCGGTAAAGTTATGAAAAGAATATTAAATAAATCCTGCAGCACTAACCATAAAACTTTTTGGTGACTTGAGGCTTAGCATTAAAACTTGAAAAAATTGGCACATTTTTTTTAAAGTTTCAACCCACGTTTATCCTTGCTATCCGAAGCAACAGACGACAAGTGAGGAAATATTATTAATGCCTTAAAACAGTCTTCAATAACAAAACCAGCCCATTATGTTTAGAATTAAGTTGATACGAAGACACGTTTTGGCTATTTAAAAAACGTTACCGACATCTTGTGGTTGAAAATGACTACCATTCCAAGGAAGTTAACTCCTCCATTTAAGAGCGAGAGCTCTTAAGTCAAGTTCATAAACAGTTATACTACACGTTTCTTCAACAACAAAGCTTAATTATAAGTAGCAGGATTTCAAAATCACTGTTTGAATTACGTTTGGACTTACAATTGCTGCTTAACGGTATTTTTAAGCTCTTCCAATTACAACTTGAACCTTACAGGGATCCGTTGTAGTCAATGATAACTTCAAAACATCCGCTGCTAATTAAAGTACGACCCACTGGGAAAAATACTCCGGTATTGGCTATGTTTACAAATCTTTCTTTTGCATTGTGACACAGCAGTTTCTAGGAAATAATGACTAATTACAGCAGGTGATATTGTCATGATATTGAAATGTTGTAAACGGGTCAATGTCGCAAGGCTATGTTGCAGGGAACCGGTCTCGTGTTTAAGGTTATGTAACACGTGTCTGCAACAACAGTAAACTTTAACCAGCGTTAAAGAAATTACAGAACAGTTTTCAATCGACTTCGTAAAACCGAAAGCAAAGCAATAATTCTGGCCAATCAGAGCAGGCAGAGAAAATCAAACGAACCAATCAAATTTTCAGGCAAATACATTGCAGCCGGTGCAAGCCGGTGTCAAGCGCGGGAATTTTTTACTTTTGTGGTGATTGGTTCATAAACCAATGTAAAATAATTCTCGTCTGTGTTCTGCATTACTACACGTTGTGATTGGCTGATAAACAACCTCGTGCTAATATCTCAATCAAAACTACAGCAGAACCAGTTCTTTTTTCTCGGGCATTATTTGCTTCGAGTTGCAGCTGGTTAATTTGACTACTTAATTCTGGTTTGATTAAGGTGCTTACTTAAAAATACAATACTGTTTTGGGTCAATTCTGTGATGAAATCAATACTTAGTATCTTTACCCACAAGGAACATGAACAATTATAATTTTGTGGCGTGTTTTGCAGGCATAGCATTAAAACTTGAAAAGGATGGCCCAACTTTTTCAAGTTTTACTCCACGACCGTCCCCGCCATCCTTTGTAACAGACGGCAGGAAACAGATTCAATACCTAAATACAGTCTTAAATAACAAAACTGGACCATTGTAAATTGATTCGAAGACACGTTTTAGCTTTTAGTGTGACATAGCCCATTTAAAAAATCGTCTTAAAGTGAAAATCACTTACTGGTTGACTTGGGTTGATTTCAGTGGCTTCGGGATAACTTCAATTTTTCCTTGACTGGATGAACGCTGCGGTAAACTCAGTGACTCGCGATGAGGCACGCCGGCAGATATCTTTCGACTCAATCCTCCTTCGAAGTTCGCAACTCTTGATTTCACACTCAGCGACCGATCAACATTGTTAGCTTTATCCTTAAGAAGCCTTTGCAAGATCTGCGTGTCTTCAATCCGACTCTTCTCTGCTTCAGAATCTGGCTTACGTGACATCCATCCGCCCGCATCACCAAACGCTCTCACAGGAGCCGAGTCTGCCTCGCTTACATTTTTCTTCAGCTGAAGCGCGTCCGACTGTGTCTTATCGGCTTCTGGTGAGGTTTGCCCAGATCGGTATAGTGTTGGACCACTGTTCTCATCTACTGATGAGGACGACGAAGAGCGCATATTTGTAATCACAACTGTAGACTTATATCGCATGCTAGAGGTCTTAGAAAGTTTTCTGTCAGGAGGCTCATCGCTAGCTGTTGAAGAATTCGCTTCTCTTCTACTGATAGCGGGCTCGGCGTGCCATGACTGTCTCACGTCACTTCCGCTTGCCTTGCTTTCCACCACGTGTTCTGTTGGCCATGATCTTGACGCGCTGTGAATCGGCTGATTAGCGGCGACTTCTGATACTCTTGAAACTGCACCAAATTTGGGTGGAATCTGCACTTGCTCAGGAACCTCCCGTCGGCCTTGTGTCCGAAACGAGCTGAGAAGTTTGGACACGCTTCGCCTGGGGGGTGGGGCAGGTCCCTGCCTGCGGGAACTGCTCACTGATGAATCCATTGTTCCCACTGAATCGAGGCTCGAGGTGCTCTCGCTGGTAGTCATTTTTGGTCCCATTACGTCCCTCGGCAGGCGCACCTCTACTGTGTCACCCGGTGCGGCATACACTTGTGAGTTCCACGACATTTCTACTGGGCGTGAGGGCACGTC